CCCCAAACCCTAAGGCTCGTTTCAGGAGTATGACTGGGCTCAGCTGGTCGCGGCCTTCAGCAGCCGATTGCGTGGTATCATCCCCAGAGATGCCGGGACAAGGGCTCTTTTGTGGGATCCCGGAAGGACTCAGGGCTTGGAGGGTCAGAGGGATTGGGGTTTGGGGTTTAGGGGTTAGGGTTTAGAGCTTAGAGGGATTAGGGTTTGGGGTTTAGGGTTTTGGGGATTATAAGGTTTGGGGTTTAGGGTTTGGGGTTCAGGGTTTGGGGTTTAGGGTTTAGGGTATAGGGTTTAGGGATCCATTAAGGAATCCATAAAAGATCTACAGGAGATCCAGAAGAGGGGTCCTCCGAGAAATTCAGAAGGGATCTATATGGGATCCGTAATCGGTTTAGGGGTGGAGAGGACTCATGAGCGCGAGCTCTCCGAACCATGCGTAAAGGGTCTACAGGTGGCGTCTATGTGCGCGTTGATGATATGCTTTGCGGTGGTTTCGCGGCCCTCTTGAGTGGTTGGAGCAACATCTTCGAAGCAAGTTTAAGATTTCTTCAGCTTTTTTTGCCGGAGGTCGGGGAGTAGCTGACATTCCTCAAACTCCGTCATGCGCTCGTGAGAGCTTCTCGTTATCGAAACCAACGGTGAAGTATGGCACCCTTATAGTACCTTATGGTAACGTACCCTTATATAGTATCCCTTCTGGTAACTTTATGGTTTCCCCTTATAGTAAATCGACAAGTTGCTGGAGGCGACGGGTCTTGCACAGGTTAAGCAAACGAGGTGCTTGGAAACCCTGCTCAGACACCTCACCAGCCACGACCGCGAGCTCTGGAAGCAGTATAAAGCCATATCAAGCCCAAACCCAAACAATACCTTGGACCCTAAACTACATTCTTCTTAATTTTTTGTTCATATAACACCAAAGAGAACGTTATTATGGTTCTAAGGGGGGTATAGTAAATCCAACACCTTTATGCAAACCTCTTAACCCTTGTAGAACCAGACCTTGAATTACGCAAGCCCCATCCCACCCAAGAGTGCCCCGACTCCCCCAAACCCTCAACCCCTAGACCACTAAACCCTAACCCCTAAACCCCTGAACCTCCAAAACCCCAAACCCTAAACCCCTATAAACCCCTATAAGCCCGATAGACCCTAAAACCCTTAAACCCCACGAGACTTTTTGACTTTGGCTCGCAGTCGGAGTCCTTTCCCACTTTTTTCCTAAACGAGACCGAGGTGAGCCAGATGCCAAAGAGCAGCTGGGTGACTCGCGCGAGATGGGTTCTGGAGACTTCGGCCTTCAGTTCCTTTAAGGGGTCCTTCGGTTGATGATATAAATCCTGCATTACCCATAATAGGGAATATATGGGAATTAGGGTATATTCCTTACTATGGGTAATGCAGGATTTATGTCATCGACCGTTTGACGGCTCCTTGAAGGGTTCCTTTGAGAGTTCCAAGGCTGTCTTCCAGGATTTATGTATAGGCTTTAGGGTTTAAGGCTGTAAAGTGTTCGTTGCAAGCGTCCCGTTAAGGGATCTACAAACCCTGGTGCTCCAAGTATGCAAATAGTACCTACTTTGGGGTCTAAAGTCTGCAAATAGTACCCACTTTGGGCTATTTAGAGCCCCAGGGAAAGGGTTCGATGAGGGATTGAGGGCTTCCGGGCTTGAGCTTGGATTTTGAGTTTATTCGAACGCCTGCTTTCATGAAGAAGATACTGCCGGCTCCTGCTGAGTACACTGGGCGCTGGTGAAGGAATTACAACCCAGACCTTCCAAAATCCCTTAACTAAGGAATATACCTTAAATCATATTAAGGATCCTACTATAATTTAAGGAATATTCCTTAATTAGGGGATTTTGGAAGGTCTGGGGAATTACAAACGGCCCCTAGCTTTCGAGTGTTCAGGCTCTTAGAAAATGTGTTTGTTCCACGCACTCGGGGTCTACTTGCCCGTGCTTCTTGGAATGGAGTTGAATGCGGGACTCTATGCTAAACCCCAAAACCCTAAATCCCCTAACCCAAAAACCCTGAACCCTAAACTCTGAAACCTAAATCCTAAACTGTAAATAATCTCAAAAGGAACCTGCAGCCTTTACTCCTCTCGGGGCTGCTTCTTTCGTCCTAAGTAGCCAGGTCAGCCTTGACGAAAGGTTGCTGAATACTTGAAGGACATTGGGACTTAGTAACTAGGGTTATAATTAAGGTAACTACACTTATAACTACTTATATCCCCACTTAGGGTTCTTATAACCATACCTACTAAGTCCCATGACCCTCCAAGTACGGAACCCACCAGGGTTGGGGCCATCCTGCACCCTGGACCCAATAGACGGAAAGATTCAACCTGGACCCCTAAACCCCACAACCCCACTAAACCTTATAAGCCCTCAACCCCGAAAGCCCTGAACCCTCAACCTCGAAACCCCTAAACCCTGAACTCGACACCCCTACGAAAGTTTGAGTGTTTGGTGGAGGGTGTTGTGTTAAGGGATCTTAGATTGGGAGCTCTGGGTGCCGAATTTGTCCGGTGTAGCTGGGATGCCAAATTGCTGTATTGCTGTAAGTAGTCTGAAGCAGATGTTATATAATCAAATATGGACAAGAAGAAGAATCTGTATATAAGTATGTATATACGTATGTATGTAGATATACGTCTATATACATAGACGTATTTTGTCGTTGCTACTTCTACTATTCATCTTTGATCTAGTGTTATGACGTGCAGCAATTAACTACGTGTGCGAAACCCTTCGTACGACAAATCCTGCCTTCACCAGTTGGGTCAAGCGTACAGCTTTAGTTGCAGACGCTGCCGTCTGCATGGGCGCGATGGTCCGCAAGCGGGCTGCGTTTCTAATTCTGGCGTTCACCATGACCCAAATGAAGCAGGCAACTTGGTTGGTCATAACTTAACGGCAGTGATGCTTCAGCTTGGATGCCCAGCGTACGCCACTAAACCCTGAATCGTATCCTGCTGAACCTTGAGCCTCGCTTACTTTCCCTAAGGGTCCATGTACCCAAATAGTAGTATATACCCCTGGGCCCAATGTACCCATATAGGGAGTACTTTAAGGCTAGTGTATATATACTATTTAGGTACATGGACCCTTAGGGTTTCTCAACCGGGCCTCCCTAATCTGGTTTCTTTATATAAGTCCTTAAAAAGGTAGGTTGCTTAAAGGATCATGGGACTTAGTAAGTAGGTTATAATTGGGGTTATAAGTCCCCTAAGTGGGGTTATCCTAATTATAACCTACTTATAACCTTACCTACTAAGTCCCATGAGCCTTTAAGTACTTGGGGTTAAGGTAATCCTAAACGGTTTAGGATTCCTTGGTTTAGGGACCCACTCAGGGCTCGGGATGGCTTCTGGGGCGTGGCGGTGTAAACTCGAAGCGATATATATATATATATACGCACATATATATATATATATATATATATATATATATATATATATACATATGTATACACATATGTACGGTTTTAACTTGTGTGGTATGACGGTTTGGGAAAAGTGAGGGAGAGCTGGGACAAAATCATCCAAATAACGTGGCCTCAACCCAAGGTGCTACACTGCTACACAAACCGTAAGATGTCGCCTGGAAACCCATGAATCCTAAACCCTGACCCCTAAACCCTTATAGAACTCTTTTCATCCCAAAACGGAGCCCTTAAAGCAGCCCCAGTGGATCCCTCGGCCAAGGCGCTTCCCTCCCATGGAAATCGTGTGGGAGGATGCGCTGGCTTCACGTTCTGGAGGAGTCCTCGATCGCCGCCTTCCACGTGGCTTCACTTAACCTCAACCCCCCAGACCCCTAAAGCTTGGACACCTCATCTCCTAAACCCCTAAACTCTAAACCCGAAGTCTCTAAACTTCAGTTTAGATGGCCCGACGGGTTTGTGTGTGTATAGGTTAAGGGTTTAGGGTTTAGGAGATGGCCGACATATTTAGGGGATGGCCGATATATGTTCATAAAAGGGCTATACAAGCCAGAATGCACGGCGCGTCTTATAGAAGGGTTGCTTTACCCAAAGGGTCCATGTAATTATCATTACAGTACGTAGGCTCTTAGGAGGTATCTGGGCCCCATAAGAAAATACCGTACTGTTACTCGCACTATTTGGTTATCTTTTCAAGCCCTGTAGCTGTAAGTGTGGTTACAAGTCCCGTAATGTGGGTTTTGACTATAGTTGCCCTACTTCTAAACCCACTTATAACTGCCCTTGCATCTCCAAGTGGAACCCTCAAAGCCCAAAACCCCAAACCCCTTTAAAGTAACTCTGGAAGGAACCCTTACGGGAACCCATAAACCCACAGGGCCCTATGTACTGATGGGGGATACTTCCCTAAACCCTACATTATACAACCCTATAAGGGTCCAAGTACCTAATGATCATATACTCTCCTAAATCTTGAGCTACATAACTACTATCCTAAACCCAAGTACCTACTTATTGGGTCCTTCGGGGCCCTTAGGGTAAGTTTAAGAAATATACGTTAAATTGCCCTAAACCCTAAACCCTATTTAAGCAAGGAGCCCTATTTAAGCAAGGAGCCCTAAACCTTAAACCCCATTTAATCAACGAAGCCTAAACCCTAAACCCTATTTCAGAAACAAACCCTAAACCCTAAACCCCATTTAAAAAAGGAGCCCTGGAGGTCAAGTTCTCTTCATCGTCGGCCCGATACCCAGACCAGGACCTCCACGGCCGTCACGTCTGGGTTCTCGGAGAGGCCTGGGCTTAGGGTTTCGGGGTTTAGGGTTAAGGGTTTCGGGGTTTAGGGTGTAGGGTTTCCGGGTTTAGGGTTTAGGGTTTAGTCTACAACTAAGACCGGAAAGCACGGTTCCCGGTGCCTCCACGAAGTGCGGATCCTTTTCCGCTTGCTTGGGCCACTCGTGCGCCTTCGAAGAGAAAGGTTCGGGGCGAGAGGGTCGAGAGACCGAACCGCAACTTCACAGAATTACACTGGTTCGAAATCTCTCAACATTCTATACAGGGTCCTCTCGAAAAGTTAACTCGAGACCATCTGACAAATGCCGCCACCAGTCGGCCGCTTTGAGCGGTTTCGTGAGGTGATCGGCCATTATTTGGGCACCCGTGGGAACCCATGCAATTCTACCGACCTCGCTAAGATCATCACGAATAGCGGCTAGGTCAATTGCAAGACGTTTACAGGAGGGGACACGTGGGACTCCGTCCCTGATCAAGTGATCGTACAGACTTCTACAATCGCTCAGAAAACGCAGTTGAAGCCGTGAGGAATTCCGTGCGAGCTTCCCGGTGAGCAAGGTCTCCAAGAATCGGCTAATGAAGATCCCAGTCTCGATGGCTGTGGCGCACGCCATAGTTTCAGCTGCAAACGTAGAACGGCAGACTCTGTCGCATGCGCCGCTCCTCCAATCCAGAGTGCTCACCTTGTGCTTTCCACCTTGGAGCACCTTGTTGTCGGCGCGGAGGAAGAGCCCGCCTAACTGGGAGCAGACACTCGAGTTTGCACGCTTCGCTCGGGCTTCGCTTCGGCTCATAGGGCCATTGGTGATCATTCCGAGCTGGTCCTCTTCCGGAGTGAGCTTGTAGTACGGATCTTCTTGGTTTTGCGGGGCGTTCGCCCAACCTGCATCATGGAAACATAGGAGAGTCGCCCGGTCGAGGTCGATCGGGAAGATGCGCACACCCTCCTTTTGGTGCTCGTAGGCCCTTTGCGCCATGAGGTTCGTGAACTTGATGTCTGAGACCAGGGGGTCGCGTTGCCTCTGCTGACGCATTGACACTCCCACTTGCAGGTCTGGCCGGCTCTGGCTAGCTAACCATGACAAAGCACCTATCAAAGACATATTGTCGTGCTTCTGGACCTCGCTCGCGGGGTCCTCGTCGCTCTGTTCCTTGTGCACCTCGACCTCGAAAAGCCTCGTAGTCGTGTAGCTCGCCTGCGACACCATTATCATGTCCTCCTTGATGTCGATGTAGGATCCGACGTACTCAAACGATCCACTTTCCCACTCCTTGATGGGGAACTGTGCGCTGAGCTCCTTCTGGATGAGGCGGCACAGGTCGTTGTCGCCCACCAAAAGGACGTCGTCGACATGGACCCCGATGTAGGCTTCGGGTTCTCGTAGTACTTGCCGTCCTTCTTCGTCGGTGATCTCTTCTTGGACAATGAAAATGCAATGGTCCAGGGAGCAGTTGCTTATCACCCACACGCGCCCATGCTCACCATACAATCTCGTACTCGTCAAAGACTTTCGGAATTTTCCCCACCAGGCTGCCGGACTGTCAACCAGCCCGAAGATAGTCTTCTTGATGCGCAGCAATTGCTCAGGGTGTAGATCTCCAAGCCCGGAGCGAGGTTGCTTGAGGAAGAGCTCCCTCAGGAGGTTCTCGCCGCACAGGAAAGCCGCTGAAACGTCGCCGGCATGGCCTGTCCATCCACGATGGAGGTTGCTGGCGAGGATCTGCAGAAGGAGGAGGATTCCTTGCCGGGAAACAGTAGGAGCATGGGTGTTGAGACCGTTCATCAAGTCGGGGTCGCGGTGCCCGGCAATCACTAGCCTGGCTTTGTGCTTCCAGCCGATGTCTGGGTGTTCTTTTCGTTTGGACCAAAACTTATCCTTGTACGCGAACCTGCTACTCAGCACTCGGTCATGCTTAGTCCTCAAGATCTCCCTGCTCTCTTCGACGGAAAGCGGCTCCAGTGCGTCGTGCTGGATGTGCTCGTCGTACTGAGTTCTCTCGGCTGCCCTGAAGCCCTCGTGTTGGTCTTCAGGTATAAGGCTCCAGGGAATTTCCTTCTCAAGAGCCTTTTCCTTGGCGCGGGGCGTCTTGGGGAGCTTCATCATGTAGACGGTCTGGAGGTCCTTCTTCTCGGGGCCAACGGTGGAGACCAGCAACTCATCGAAGACGTCGTCCTCGGCGTCTTGTGGTCCCTTCGTGCGGTATCTCTTGGCTACAGGGGGAAAAGCGGCTCCCTCCTCTTCAGGTTCCTGGTCGTCCATAGCGTCACCATCGCCAGGAGGTAGCGCGAGATCATCGTCGCCTTGGTCGCCGTCATCTCCAGCAAAAATCTCTTCGTCGGCAAAGGGCACCTCCAGAAGTTTCTCCAAGTCTTCCTTTGTCGCCCGCAACGTAAAAGCAGCTCCTAACTCCTCTCCAGTGGCAATCCTGATGTGCTCTGGGGCAATCAAGTGACACCGGCCTGCGAAAGAAGCCCAGTAGTTCCCGCCTTCGCGTCCTATAACAGTAGCTGGCCCGAACCACTTCCAGTTCTTAGAATCTTTAGGCTTCCGGTACATGAAGACGTGCATGCCGATCTCGAGGTCGCTTCCAGAAACCCTTGTCCGTTGCAGTAGAGCACGGCGAAGCTTTTCATCGTTCTTGACCTTGAAAAAGGACTCCTTGGCGGCCACGCGCAAAGTGTGTTCTCGCGCTCGTACTCTATCTTTGGAGAGGACGTGGTGAAAGTGCTCCGAAAGCTGGTGGTCGCTGAGGTCTTCGGGAAGTCGAGGATCACGTCCCCACACTGCCTGAGAAGGGCTGAACCCGCTTTGGCGCCTGAGGGTGTTCATCGCCGAGTTCACTGAGGTGATGGCCAGCGGGGCCTCTTTCCGGGTGACAGTCTTGTCATCGACGGTCCTCACCCAGACTTCTTTCCAAGTCCGGATACATCTTTCGACGACGCCTTGCTGCCAATGAGCTTGGGCAGCGATGGGACGCAACAGTGTCCCGTGCCACTCGGAGAAACGTGCGAGTCCTGCTTGGAGTCCTGTCTCCAAGTCGAGCACCAGGGTGCCGGGTGCTCCGAAAGTTTGGCTCCACATCCGACAAAAGGTGGCTTCCATGGCCTTTCCGGAATGACCATCGAGCTCGCTTGCCAAACAGAAACCAGTGCCAAGGTCCACCGCCATGAGCAACTCCACCTTGTCATCAAAAGCATCGTAGGTGGTAAAAGCGTCCAAGGCGACCACCTGGTTGAACTCCAGGAGGTTGGGGATGCTCGCGGGTCTCGGGGAACCGCCTCGTTGTTGCCGTTCACAAACTTGACAGCGAATCCTTTTGCAAGCGCTGATCACTGTAGGGTCAGCTCCGGCAAGACGTAGGTGTCGGGCCATATCGTTTGGGCTTGCGTGCCCGAGATTTTGGTGCAGCCTTTTGAGAGAGCTTTGTACCGGTCCAGGTATTGTCTCTCCCTTCGTGAAAGAAATGGCTTCTGCTCCTCGTTGTAGGACTTCTGGCGGAGGGTCGTCGCTTCCACGGGCGCCTCCAGAGGCCATGTAGGACTCGAAGAGAAAACTGGCTCGATCTCCCTGAGGAAGCGAGAGGTCGGGGGAAGAGTTCTCCCGAACATTGATACGCACGAGGCGGCGTTTTCCGTCATGGCTTTCGCTGTGGCCGTCATACTTTTCAAGGAAATCTTCGAGCTCGCCGCCGGTGATGTCGTTCTTGTCCTCGGGAAACTCAAACACCAGAGGCCTGCCACTGCATGCTTGGGCCTCGAACACCTGCTGGAGCGGACCAAGAGACCCTTTTATCTTTTCGACATGGACCCAAACGGTCTCGGGCTCGAACTTCACGAGGTTGTCCTTGGCCTCAGAGAAAACATTCGGTGGTCCGAGATCCTCAGGGAGAAGGGGCTCCATGCAGACGTAGTCAAAGTCGCCAGCCTCCAAGGTCTTCGTCACGTCGCCAACTTCAAACAAGGTGGGTGCTCCTTGTTTCCTCCCGAGAGGGAAGTCTGTAGTTGCCCAAGAGGTAGCCGCCATCGTACACCACGCAGTCATTGAAGCGAGTCTTTTCGCTGCCTTCCATAACCCCTTGCGGGTGCTCTTGGGCGGTCTGGGCGCACGCGCAAAATCATGGCGATGTTCCTCGATAGGGAGACCACGAAGAGGAAAACGAAGGTCTCGAAGGCGGTCTCGTAAGGCTGGGGTGGACTCCGGAAAACCGCGCGGGGTGAAGAAAGCGAGGGTCCATCTGTCTCCTTGCCACGCCTCTGTGCAGTGCTTGCGCTTGGGGTCGAGGACGAGCGGTGCCTCCTTGGTGGATATGAGCTTCCCCTTTCGGGTCTTGTTGAAAGCGTCAGTCCTGAACACAGCGTCGCCCTCGATGTCGGCTGCATCATCTTCAACCCATAGTTCTCCACCGGAAAAGTCACCGAAGCACATCGTCGTGATGTTGGTGCCGACGAGGTTGTGGCTGTCGGAGTGCACGCTGGACTTGACGTTCTTATTGAGGATCCACGAGCTCCAGCTGCCGTCGGTTTTGTCCCGGCCGAACGCATTGATATACCGGGTCACCCAGGGCAATGCTTCTGTTCCTTTGGTGATCCCCGAGAAAACGCCGTGGGTGTAGAGGCCGGCAAAGAAGCAGTTGACCGTTGTTTCGGCGCCCCCGCTGATGCATCTGTGCTTCTTGGTCTTCCGGAGTGGTATGAGCTGGACGATCTCGTAGAGGTCGGCAAAAGAAAAGGCCTTCGTGCGCAGCTTCTCGCGAGCCAAGGCTTCACACCTCAGGGTTGTAGTAGATGAGGAAGAATCGGACGCAGCCAGAACCTGAAAATCTGCACCTTCTTGAACAATTGAGTGCTCCTCGCCGCTGGCAATCTCAAAGAAATCCTCTGTGTCGGAATGGAACACCTCGGGGAAGGACTCGACGGAGATCTTCTCTGCATTCTCAAAAACATTGGGACCATGGTTCGGGTAGAGGTTGCTGTTCTCCAGTTTGGTTTCCTCGAAGAGAACATGTCCTGGAAGACCCGGCGCAGACTCATAGCCACGTTCTGCGCTGTCCTTTATATGTTGTTCTTGAACGCATTCCGCGGGACCATGGTTCAGGTAGAGGTTGGAGTTCTCCAGGTTGGTTTCCTTGAAATCGTTCTTCTCGTTCCCGATTTCCCCGTTGTAGATCGCATCCTCGCGTGAAACGCCCAAGGGTGCAACCTGATTTCGAAGAAAATCGAGCTTCTCCTCATCGTCCTCAAAGTAGATCTCGTCGTAGTCCTCGTTGTAGTCGCGTGGGTCTGGCCCACTCACTGGTCCGTCCCCGTACTGCCCTGAGGGGGCAGTCCATGCCGATCGCGCAGAATCGCCAGCCTCTCTTCGAGGTGCTGCACCTCGTCCAAGATCTCCTCCGGGATGTCCTGGTCCATGCGCGAGCGGCTCGAGAAGCTGCTCTCGGAAGGTGCCGAGCGTCGCTTCGGTGTCGTAGTCAACGGTGCCGCCTGGTAGCCGCTCCACTTCGCCTTGGCCTTCGCCGGAACATAGGACGATACCCTTTCCCAGGCAGCGCTGTCCTCCGACTCGTTCGGCACATAGGGAATCGAAGCACTGCTCTCTGGATCCATGTAAGTAGGCGGATGGACCACTCCTCGACTCTCGGTCTCGGCCTTCCACCAGGCTGCGAACATCCGCAAGTCCTCCGAGGCATTGTCGTTGTTCACCACCTCTCGTACCGCCCAGGTGCGATAGCCGGTCGGTGTGTCCATGTAGCGCATGCCTTGGTATCTCCCGAAGGTGAGTATGGTTTCGGGGCCTTTGCCCCCGTTGTCCCGCACCATCCGCATCAGGATGCCGCGGGTGGCCTTGGCAGGGATCTCGAGGCCGATCTCCACGACCTTCTCCTTCAGCTCTTGCAAGGTCATCTTCGACAGTCCCACCGGTGGGACGGATGAAGTCGCCGACGTCGCCTCGGTGCTCATGTCCTCTTGGATCACTGAGCGAATCTCTACCACCGTCCAGCGAGGGTTCACCGGCAGGTTCCGCGCAGCTGCTTCCCGGAGCAGCTCGTCCTTCTTCATCTCGGAGAGGACCTTGGGCCGCGACACCATCGGAGCAGTCAGGAGAGGCTTCGGGGCCATGGTTCACAAAGGAATCGCAAGGTGGTCGGCAGGGCATCGAAGCTCTACAGAACACGGTTCTCCCGATCCAAAGCATCGGAAAACTCGAGTCTGCACCAACGTCTCTCCACAAATCATGAACTGCTGGAAATTCTCGCTGAGTGTGACATGAGACTGCATTCACAACACGCATGAAACCGAGGCTCTGCAGGAGGTTCGCCTTGAGTTCGTGCTTGGGGGTGCTCCATGAAGTAGGGTTGAAAAAGGTCTTACGAGGCACCACGTGGACCCGGACCATGATGTGCTCACCTTGTATCCAAAAGTCGTTCGAAATTGAAGTTTGTGACCACCATGCCAAGAAACTTTCACGGTTCAACACATCTGCCAGAAGAAGGTTGTTTGTAGCAGCCGCGATCCTTTTGGGATGAAAGACTCGTTGAGGATGGTGAGGTTCGTGATGGGCCTTCGGGTCCTTGTTGCAACGAACATCGACTTCACCTAGGAGAGGCTCTACAGATTCCAAAGCAAACACCATGTATTGCTCAGCGCGCGAGAAGATGCCGATCTCTTGGGACTGCCAGTCTGTAGCAGGTCCTTTCAGGCTCTTGGGGTCCACAGGTTGGACCGGGAAAGCTGGATGCCCCGTTTCGGTCATCTTCAGCGGCAAATCTATGACACGGACAGCGCGAAAGGTGGCGACATTGCGGGCCACATCCATGATCATCCCCAAAAGTGCCAAAGCCGGTCTCGAAATCAGAAGTGGCACCTCCCCGTAGACGACGGCAATCTTAAGCCCCACGATCTTCTCCCCAATAGGAAAGTAGATGACCGCAGCGTGGCGGGCCTCGAACACTCGAGAGGCGCCAAATCGAAAGGCTTCCTGGATATGCACAAACTCAACGCTGAAGCCCTTTTGCTTTGCCAAAGCCACGTATGAGTTAATCCAGTTGATGCCGGCCACGCTCCTCGAGCACGCGGTGTCCGTGATCGCCATCAAGTCGGGGCCGCCCTGGTCCTGGAGGTCCCAAGTGACATGAACCACATGCTGACGCCCTCCATCAGGCTTGTGAGGCGGCGGATTTGCCGGCTTCAAGGACTGCCCTGAGGTAAGGGGGGAGGTTCCCGAAGAGGTAGTTCCGGAGGTCCCAGCGGCAGCCTTATTCAAGGGGCAGCATGCGTCTCGGTGCCAATGACCTCGTCGTCGGCAACCGGCGCAATACGATCGCGCCTTTGCCGCCTGAAGACGATCCTCAGACAGCTTCTTCAAGGACTCAGGGTCGCTGCCACGTAGCTTGAGGGTCTCCTTGTAACGTTGCTTTGCCGACTCATGCGTCATGAAGGTTTCGTAGTACTCAGCCGCGACATCTTCCGGGACGATCTCGTCATCATCGACCTCAGGCTGGCCGTCTTCCTGGAGGAAGTCCTCTTCGCCATCGTCGTGTCCAGTCAGAAGCGCAGAGTGGTTGCGCCTCGGCAACCATTCGCGGCGAGGGTTCCTGTCATTCTTGGGCATCGTCTCCCAAGGCTTCCGCAAGGTGCGATCATGAACGATCGCAGCCTTCTGCAGCTGCTGGAGGTCGTAGACGTTGCCGACGGACGCCAAGAGGTTGAGCTCGGCCTGTTCATCAAGTCCCATACGGTCAACAAAGACCCAGGCCGCCGCCACATCAGGTAAGCAGCACCCGACTTCATTGAGTCGCGCATAGGCGCGATCGAACTCCGAAAGGTACTCCCTGACAGTCTGGGTAGGCTTCCTACGGAGGCCTCTGAAGAAACCAGAGAGGCTGCGTCCCACTTGTGTGATTTGGACGTCGAGATACCTCTCCTTGATCCATCCAAGAAAGTAGTCGACGCCGTCGGAGGCCGCGAGCCGGTCCATGTGCAACTTTTCCGCGTCCACCCAGGCCTTGCCGGAGAGGTTCTGATACAAGGTAAGCGCCTGTTGGTCGGCGCTGAGACGCGTCATGCGACGCCAAGCACTCACCTGCCGAACATACGATCTTGCAGAAGAGCCGAGGTCGTCGTAGGTGGAGTTGATCTCGCCGTCAAAAGTGGGAACCACCATCTTTTCGCTCGGCCCACGAGAGTTCTCGGGGCGCCGAGGGACGCCTCTGGAGGCGTCGTCCCATCCGTTGTCTCCTGGACTCCATCCGGGGGCCGACTTGTGATCATTGCCTGCACTCCCGTCCGCAGAGCCAGGTCCAGAACCGGCATTCGTCGACGAGGTGCCCCATGTATCCCCGAGGCTCCATCGTCTTTGGTCTCGCCAATCGTAGCCTTGCCACCAGCCGCTACGATCTCCCCAACTGGAATGTCCCCACCAGCTGGGTTGCTGGTAATCATTCCAGGCCGCCCATGGATCATGGGCGTGATCCCACTGCGAGGAGCCATGATCATCACGCGGAGGAGGTCGGGAGTCACCGCTTCCTTGTTCGTTACCTCCGCCCTCACTAGGTCGCCAAACAGAATCATCACTAGGATCATGAGCATGAGTAGTCCCCGCATCACCACCATCGGCAGACGACATGGCACAACAAAAAATCAGAAGGAAAACTACGGAACCTGAGCGCCCCAGCGCTCCGCTACCAATCTACAACTAAGACCGGAAAGCACGGTTCCCGGTGCCTCCACGAAGTGCGGATCCTTGTCCGCTTGCTTGGGCCACTCGTGCGCCTTCGAAGAGAAAGGTTCGGGGCGAGAGGGTCGAGAGACCGAACCGCAACTTCACAGAATTACATTTAGGGTTTCGGGTTTAGCTCTTTTTTTGAGGGTTTAGGGTTGACTAGGACCTCCCCAAAGGGCCCGTTAATAGAGTCTTTGTGGTCCCTAATAGTGGGTATTTGGGGTATATTAGAGGGTAGTTGAGGGGTCTAGGTAGGGTTAAGGCTTTAGGAGTTTGGGCTTCAGGGTTTGGGTTTAGGGTTTAGGGTTTAGGGGTTTAGGGTTTAGGGGTTTGGGGCCTTATTTAGTCACCTTAGCACCTCCTCTTCCCTAAACCATAAACCCTCGATCCAAAACCTTTGCCCCAGGTGGATTTGGCCAGTTCCCGAGGGGGTCGAAAGTGCGCTTGCTGCACTCGCCGGATGCTTCTTCTTTGCTTACAGCGCCTGGCTCTCATTTCTTGGCATCCTGGCTGCATCCTCCACCTGCACACAGCCTGGTTTAGGGTTGAAGGTGTACGTAGCCTACGTAAGTTCGAGCATCCCAATCCTAAACCTTAAATCCTCAACTCAAAATAGCACCTGAAATCCTATATACCCTATAATCCTAAACCCTTGACCTCTTAAATCCGAGCGGCCGAAACACCTGATGTCAATAGCTGCCGGACCCTAAATTGCGGCACAAGCCGTGGCAACCCACATACTTCAATGGCTCCATACCAGCACCCCCCAACTACCCTCTATTATACCCTAAGTACCCACCATTAAGGACCATATAAGGACTCTATGAAAGGGTAGTTGGGGGTTCTGGTAGGAAGTTTGGAAGTTTGTCATCAGAGGACTTCATGAACGTAACAGCATCAGTGGCCTCAAACACAACCGAGTCTCAAGGTTCACCGACCCAGATTACGACTCACCTTTATAGGTTGAGGATACATGGTCCCGGCACCCTAAACCCTAAACTTCCGGGATCAACAAAGAAACCTCCTGTTGCCGTCCTGGTTCCTGCGCCCCTTGGTCAACTTGTGAAACCCTCAAATGCAGACCTCTCTTTGATGCGCAGGGTTTCGGGTGTAGGGTCTCAAGGTTTGCCCTGGAAGCCCAGTTGCATTCATAGTGAGTTTACACACACAATTAGAGGGACTGCCACTTGCTACATATGTAAGGTTTCGGTATGGGGGCGATTCCTGCCAATCCATACAGTTTAGGGTTGTTGCTCCCCCGTAAACCCGAAATCGCTAAGGCCTAAACTATAAAGGGCTAAACGGTTTAGGATTTGGGGTTAACCTAGTGGTAGAGCAGGCAACCTTTAACCGTTTTGTGGTAGTATGGTCCCTATATAATCCCTATATAACCAAAAAGGCTAACCGTTAGTTCCCCATGATACCCGACAGTGGGTTAAAACGCAGTCAACTTCCGAACCCTGTTTCCACGGACTTTTACGGACTTTTCAAACATAGAAACTTCGAGCCGAACCCCCGTCTTTTCAACCGTTTGAGGGCTTCCCATACAAACACGCACACAGTGGTGCCAATCATCGGAACAGTATGTTTCAAGTTCTACCCTGAGACGGAGTAGACTACATACAGCCTACACAGCATAGATCGGTGTTGCGGAACCTGAGACCCTGAGAAGCGGTGTAGCCCTTCCAAACCATCCCAGGTTTCTGTGCAGGATTTCCGGCGGCAGCACTCTGGACCTTCGCGCTTGCATGCGGTGTGCCTAACTCCCATTATACTCTAAACTCCAAATTCCAGTCTAGGGTTCAGGTTTTGCAGCGGTTCAGGGTTTAGGGTTGCGGGTGTAAGGCTTTAGGTGAACCTCATGGATATACAACCTTGCAAACTCCTTCCGAATCCCTGAACTGTAAACCTGGATAAGCCCGAGAAAGCTAAACCCCCAAGCCCTAAACCTCGAACCCCCTAAAGGACCTTCGCGATTGGATATGCTATCGGCCTCCTCTGTGGGATTTTCCTCTACAAGTTCGACTCGGGCATACAGGTGGGGCGCAGGGGGCGATTCAAACCGCAAAGGAAACGCAATCTAAAAGAGGAATTGCGGAATGAGGGACGCTGTTTTAGATCCCGAACAGTAGGATCCTGAATATAACCGTCACAGCAATGGACCCCCTAAGTATGAGATCAACAGCACCGACTGAAGCTGTGAATGTAAGAACCTGATTGAGAAACCCAGGGTCTATAACCCCAAAATAGCAGAATTCATACAAGGAACTCTAGTGAAGGCTCAAGGTTTCTTAATCAGGTTCCTACATCAAACCCAGCCAAACCCTTTCTGGTGCCCTTATAGTACCCTTGAAAGGAACCCTCATAGAACCCTATAAGAAAGGCCCAAGGTTTCTTAATCAGTTTCCTACATTGCGGACCAATATCAAGACTTTGCACGCCTCCAGCACCTGATGAAGCCGTTGAAGGCTTCAGATATGGGATTTGTACTAAACCCAGACAAGGGGCTAAGTTTTCATCCGAAAAACTGAGGGTGCAGTAGGATATACAAAATCCATACAATCCCCCAAACCCCCTAGACCCCAAACCCTAAACGAGTTCCCTTCTCGGCGAGGTTGCATCCGGTGCCGGGGTGCTCCTAGGCGTCGTCGCCGCAAAGTTTCTCTACGCGTTCGCCATACTTGGCCACACCCTCCCATGGATGTTTTAGGGCTCCCTGCCGCAGGAGATGTGAGGCGGATCTTGTAGGTACATCTTAACTGAAGGCTAAAGTGGCCAGAAAGAGCGCCATGAATTTCGTGTTTTTCTGTTTTTCTGTAACGTAATTCAAACTCTGTAGAACAAACCATGCGCCTGAAGCCTCAAAACCCGAGCCCCCACACCCTGAACCCCAGCAAAGTCAATGCAACTGCAGCGGCACAAATTGAGACCAGACCTGATCCGGGCCTGTCACACCCTCACGGAACTCACCAACCAACACCCGAAACCCTACTACAGGGGCTTCATCAATTACCTACACAAGTTGGGGTGGGGGGGGTCCTTATTATACTGAGAGAAAATGCGCCCCGAAACCTTGTTCTAATGATTAATTAAGGCACCTGAAAATTGAATTCGAACCCTAAACCTAAACCCCCAGACTCCTAAACCCCTGAACCCTAAACCCCTAAACCCCTGAACCCTAAACCCTTCCACACTAACTCCGGGAAGCTTTCCGAGGCAGGCTCGCTTCAGGTTTTCTGGGATCACAGCGGTTTTAGTTCCGGACCTTCGGCTCCTGAAATGCCCAGAGATGTTGGGATAATGTAGGGGGCCTTAAGAAATTACCTAGGGTTCCCTTTAAAGGGTTCCTTAAAGGGATGCTAGAAGGGTACGATAATGTAGAGGCCGTCGGCTCCCCACCTGATATGCCCAGGCCCTAAGGCTCCATGGGCCCATATAGTATATACTAAGGGTTGAAAGTACCTATGTAGGGACCCCTTTAAGGCCTAAGTATCTACTATAAACCTTCATGGAGCCTCTCGGAGAGATGTTGAGATAATGTAGGGGGCCTTGATAATGACCTAGGGTTCCCTTTAAAGGATCCTTCAAGGGATACTATGAGGGTACTACAGTATAAGGGGCCTAATAATTACCAAGTAAGGGCCGTCTATTCAACCCGAAGCCTAAACCCGAACCCTAAAGAAACCCGAAATCCTAAGAATAAGCGGCCCTCGACACTGAACCCTGCTGGAATCCTTCAAGGAATCCTTAAAGACCCCGTGACGAAGCCGAAGGTCCAAATCAGTTCCCTAAAACTTTATCAAGGCAGCTAGCGAGCGGTGAGTTTCCCAAGGAAAAGGAGACCTCTAATATAAAGTAAACCCCATAAAGTTGGAAACCCCATAGCCTCAATCCTTAAGAGTAACGTATAGGGAATCCCAGCACTATTAGGCCTTAATCCGGTTTCCAACTTTATAGGGTTTACTATAGAGGTCTGAGGCATTAGTAATACCATCCCCTTATATTCAGCAAAGGCTCATACGGGCCATATACTGTCAAGCTTAACCAACATGTGCAAGGCTCTTATCCGCAATATGGAACTCTTGTAAGATACCCGCGAGCCATAACCTGGATCATGAGCATACAGTATGTAATTTATGTACGTGTATAGTACATCAGACTCTCAGACTCGTTTCTATTGTTCAATATAGGACCTAAACTCTACGTCTACACCATGTAAGCCTCTATAGATCTTTTGCAGAATCCCTTTGCGAGCCCCTCGCACTTACAGTATATAGATACTTATATTGAAGATCCTCTATCCTTGGGAACTCCGGCATTGTGAGTTGAGCGAATCTTCCACATTGCTCGGCTCGATGCCAATGGCTAAACCTAGATTCACGTAGATCCGTCACGAGACACGGCAGAGCTCGATAGCAATGCCCAGAGACTCCAAAATCCCTGCATCCTGGGATGCTAGAACCTCTGAATCTTCACCATCGCCGCAAGTTCTACGACGAACCTTGAACAAGGGGCTCTTGCTCAGAAATTTTGGAATCTCTGGGCATGAAGGAGGGTTCCGAATCCGAGCCCCTCGGTCGGTTACATCGTAAAGCAAGGATTCTAGGTTTAGCGATGCAAAACGGGGCCGGTGATTTCGAAACCTCTCAAGCACCTTCTGAGGTAGCCTTCTTGTAAAGCTTCCGCTTGTTTTGGCTATTCTTAGAGTATTTGCCCGAAGACTGTTGGGGCCCATTCCATAGATTGTCAGCTACCGCCAAGGCGTTAACTTTTCTGGGTTATGGTTTTGTTTATCCGGCAGTACCAGGAGGTCAAGCTATTGAGGAAAACCCAGAGACCAGAGACCCGTGCGGAAAAAATGTTGAAGGCAAGCACAGTGAACGCCAAAGTCCAAAGCCCAAACCCTCTTCCAGCACCCCCCATCTACCCTTTAATGGAGCCATTACGGTCCTCAATAGTGCAAATTTAGGGTAATTATCTTAGAGGGTAGCTGGGGGGGTCTAGGTTGTTTCCGATTTAGGGTTTGGGGCAGCACACCCAAGCAGCAAACGACGGGGTTTAGGGCAGCACACCCAAGCAGCAAACGACGCTCCCGAGAGCATGATTACTTGGTATCGATTCGGAATGATTCTTCATTTCCTTTGTATTACTGAATATAGATCCCCAATTTTAAACAGTTTTGGGGACTGATGAAATTGACCCCTAGATTACTATGAGAGAGGGGCTTAAGGAGAACTAACTCCCTAGCCTGAAACCTAAAGCCTAAACCGTAAATTCACAAAAAAAGAGCCCCCAATCGGAGTCGCCCACAGTGAGGTTCAATTGCTGTTGTAAAGGAGGTCTCGCTAGAAGGGCTCTTAGTCTTCATAGAAGCCCATCATTACCTGTACAATTTTGCGGGGGGGGGGTCCTGATTGTAATTATGGTATAATGGGCCCCAAAACCCTAGAATGATTAAGGCCTCTACATTATACTGATCGCACTTCTTGTGGATGCATATTTGTAAGGATCACAGTAATATTGTGGTCCTTACGAAGTGGGATAGATGCAATTCTTGCCCCGAAGCAGGATCACCCTCCCTAGAAGGCGCAAACTCCCAAGGCCTCAATCCGGCGATGCCGCACCACAATGCGTGAATAGAGCCCGACTGCACCCACTACTTAAGGAACACGCTGCTTGGACTTACTAAAAAACCCTATGATTGCATTGCTTAAAGCCTGTATACAGCCCTTATGGATGCTTGTAAGCCCGAATCAAATCCTGCGAAACTCTTCCCGGTACCTTTGCTCCTGACTCCTGAGCCTCCTACTAAGATTCTGCAAAGGGGCCCGGAGCCGCCCTCACAGAGCAGTTTAACCTAACTTCAGCATACCCCAAACCCTAAACCGTAATTCATACTACTGTAGTTTGAAGCCATTGTGCTTCAGCCCTTGCAAGAACCCGTCCAGAAGCCGTAGTTGGAGGATCATGGGACTTACTATACATGAAGGAACCCTATAGATCACATTAAGGAAGCCTATTTGCCGTATGGAGCCCCTATCGGAATAGGATAGATCCCTGAACCCTTAAGGCTCTGAACCCTTACAGGAACCCCTATACACTCCTTAACGGCTTAGGGTTTAGGGACCCTAAACCCCAAACCCCAAACAACTAGCTTGCAACAATAGTAATTCAGGGGCCTTAATAATTATGTTGGGGGGCCTATCCGAAAATGAGTAAGGCCGCTATACTATAGTACCCAAGAGACCCTTTAAAACGAACCTTGCCCCAATTATTGAGGCCCATATATTGAACCCTTCTAGTAAGCCTGATAGTACCCCGTATAGACCCCTTTAACGGAACACCGTTTCCAGTTATGAAGTCCCCTACATTCAAAACCCTAAACCCTATACCCTAAACCCCAAACCCTACACCCTAAACCCTACATTAAAAACCAACCATCTTCAGCTCTCTAAGGTGACTTTTGCCTCTTCGGCGTGGCCACGGCCTACGCGGTCGTGGCGTTTCACTTGAGCAGGCGTGTATGGGGTTTGGGGTTTAGGGTTTAGAGTTTAGGGTTTAGGGTATACCCTAAGGCTCCATAGTAGTTCCTTTTTGGGGTTCAGATATAGAATCCTATAAGGTAATCCCAAAATGGAACTACTGTGGGGCCTATGGGTAGGGCTGTAGGCTTAGGGTATTGGGGGGGCTTACTTGGGGTTTTGGCTTGAGGGTTGTAGGTTTTTTGCTCTTGCGGACTTTAATAAAGCCAGTTCCTCTAGAAGTCTAATATGTAGAGGTTTGGATACTTTGACATGGAACTCCCTCTATTCTACTACTCATGAAAGACTGCAGAGCTATTCAGTGGCCTGTAAATCCTTTAAGTCCTTCCACTAATGACCCCAACTTGGAGGATCATGGGACTCAGTAAGTATGGCTATAAGTACCTTAAGTGGGGTTAAAAGTGGGGTTAAAAGTAACTATAAGACTAGCTACCTTAATTTTAACCTTAGTTACTAAGTCCCATGATCCTCTAAGTAATGACCCCCAGGGCCGCCCCAGAGCCGGCGCCACCGACGGCCAAGAGCTCCGCCGCCCGAGCTTTGCCCCTTTGGTCGCCATGTCGTTTGAAGGGCCTTTAAGGGATCTATAGAGGTTCCTTTAAGGGATCTATAGAGGTTCCTTTAAGGGATCTATGGAGGTTTCTTTAAGGGATCTATGGAGGTTTCTTTAAGGGATCTATAGAGGTTCCTTTAAGGGATCTATAGAGGTTCCTTTAAGGGATCTATAGAGGTCCCTTTTAAGGGATCTATAGAGGTTCCTTTAAGGGTGGCCTTTTCCGGCTCTAGGGGTTTTAGGGTCTAGGGCTTAGGGGTTCAGCGGCTTAGGGCTTTCGGGGTTAGGGGGTTTGGGGCTTTAGGGGGCTTGGGGTGTAGGGTTTAGGATTAGGGTTTAGAGGGGGCTTAGGATTAGGGTTTGAGGTTCAAGGTTTAGGGTTTGGGGTTTGGGATTCAGGGATTGAATGTTTAGGGTTTTATGGATAGGGGTTTATTTAGTTTTTGGGTATTGGGCATTTGGGTTCGTACAATAAGGTACAAGGGTCTGCACGGGAGCTTTGCTGTCTTTGAAGTGTTTTGGGACAGGGCTTCACAGGGGTTCGTACAGTTTTGAGTTTTGACGGCTTCAGGCGTATGGTTTAGGGCCTAAGTAGAGCCTAAACCCTAAACCCTATAGATCCCATTAAGGAACCCTATAGATCCCTTTAAGGA